TATAGAGATAATACATTTTTGTTAAATGAACCTACAATACAATGCGCTGAGGCTATAGAATTCACTGCACTGAGACATATAGATAAGAAAAAATGGAGTTCAGGAAATGGCTACTTTGGTGTAGCTAATGCAAAGAATTACAGAATTATGCTGAGGGTTGTAAAATAACAGTCAAGAACCAAAAGTCAAAAGGCAAGGTAACAAAATTGACTTATCGATCAATTTTATGCATTGAGCTACTGTCATGGTTTTAGTTACATACTTATAGCAACTAGCTATACAAAACATAAGCATTCTGTTAAAATCATTTAAGCTAAGTTTTGAGACTTCTTGTTGTGCCACAATGCTTTTTGCAGCCTTTTTAGTAATTTGTTCTAAGGTGGCTTATTAAAGAAATTGTATATATCTATCTGCATAAATCTCATAACTGGGGGCATTATACCCAGGAGGCTTTGTAACAAGGTATCTCGATATCATCCTAGTAATTGTCTTTTAATTTTGTGAGAAGTAGGAAATTCTTTATGGTTGGGATGGCTAAAAAAGGGTCATACAATGACCCAGGAAGCAAAGTCCCTTATTTTGCCAGCTATTTAGGCATCTGTGTGCCTTTGGTTTGGAGGATCTAACTTAATTAATTTTTCTTTCACCAACCAAGAAGCAGCATCGATAATTTTTATCCCTCAAACTTGGCCCTTACATTCTCACATTCCCATCTCTTCTGTGATAGTGGCTGGGCCTAGAGGGAAGGTGCTTACACAGTTTTAGCAGTGGAGCATTAGCAATGAACATAGATCAGGCTCAGTGGATTCTGAATGGTTTTTAAGTTTCAGATACATCAGGTAGAGAGGAGAAAGGTAATTTTGTTGTTTTACCCAATTTTGTAAGCCATGCATAGAATTAGCAATGTTTTAAACAAAAAGGACATAAGTGCTGCCTAGCTCTGACAATGAAAGGAAAAGGACACTCATAGGTATCTGGACAATTCAAAATTATCTAGCATTAAGGCATAAAACAAAGTATATTAATTCAGATGAAGGAAAAATTGCTAAATCAATAGTTACGATTTAACTGGCCCAGTGTCATATGAAAGCAGTTTATTTTGACGGTCATCTTCTCCCAGGTCTGAAGATGAGGCTTTGGTTAACTTGAATTTAGTGCCAGATACCAGGGTTGATATTTAAGATTCAATAGAAGTCAAGTGCCCCCTTTTAGATGAGACAGGTGTACCCAGGGATCAAAGCCTTGCAATTTAACAGCGCAAAGATTAGTTGACGGGATTTGATAAAGATCTTTTTTTTTTTTTTTTCTGGTAGCATTAGAGTTCATTCCAATGTGCCTTAATATAGGTGCTGGCGCTTGCCCACAGTGCTTTTGATATATAAGGCCCAGACATTCTTACAGTTTTTCTTGAGCAATGACACCAGGAAGTTGACAGCCAGGTGAATGTTTTACACAAACTCATCGTCTGTCATCTTCACATGGCCAACAGCCACAGCCAGACATAACACTTTCTTCATATGGAACTTGATTGTGGGCGTGGCCTCATCCCCTTTGGCCACCATGGGTTTGTTGTATGTGAGCAGAGAAGGGAACTTTCCTGCTTTATTTAGACCTGAGCCGAGGATTCGTGGGATCTGCTTGATCAGAGACTCTGAAGCCAAAAATGCATCATACTTCTTGGCCAGCTTTTTGACCAGTTTATTCTCATTGAGTTTTTTCATCATCATCATCTCGATGTTCATGTCGGGGATACCTATGGCCCTGGCCTCATCACAGTGCTGTCGGTCCCCCAGGGAACACAGGGAGAACTTGGGGTGGGGAGTGGACTTAAGCCTGAGAAGCATTTGTCCTTCTAGGGGTCGCAGTTCTTCAAGCTGATCTGCAACTCTGCTGTCTCCAAAAACTTCCGGCACTTGTGCTGCTTCCTGTTCAGGACTTTCTGCACTGCCTGGTACAGAGTGTCGCCAGAGACTTTGCTCTCATGGCGTCTCACGCAGCACTAACCAGAAAACAGCAAGACCTCCTTTTAACTGAGGGAATCTCTCAAATGATATCTAATCATCCAGCTGAAAGCAGTGATATTGGAGTTTATGACTTATTTGGAAGCTGTAGAAAGATTTTATAACCTCAGGGCGATTCGGTTTTATAATTTTTGGGGGGGGGGCATTACAATCCTTGTCTCTTTGAAGAGTCAAAACACTTTTATGTACAGGTTTATTATTATTCACATGCCACCAAGATTCATCTGGGTTTAATCAATTTGCGTTCGTGTTGATTGCCTATAGATTTGGATTTAATTCTTCCATCATAGTTTGTATCTTCCATTCACCTTAGTTCCTAGGTTTTATTCTTTCTCTCTGCCCTCCTGCTGGATTGAAATGTTTCCACCTCATTCCATGTGTTTCCCTTTTAGTTTATACCGTTTCTCTCTTTTGGTGGTTATCTTAGAATATGCATATTTAATTCTAATTTTTACTCCTTACATATGAAAACCTGAGAATAATTCAATTCCAGCCACTTCTATAACTTACGTATCATATTGTCCAATATTCTAGATATACCTTGATTTGTAATCCTACAAATTACAAAATGTTGTTTTACACCAGCATTGACCAATAACCTTCTTTGATATATAAATGTTCTGTATCTGTGCTATCCAGTGTGTTAATCACTAGGGTCACTGAGCACTTAAAATGTGGCTAATACAACCCAGGAACTGAATATTCAATTTAATTAATTCAATTTATTAATTGATAATTTATTTGAGATGGAGTTTTGCTCTCTTGCTCTGGCTGGAGTGCAGTGGTATGATCTTGGCTCACTGCAACCTCTGCCTCCCAGGTTTGTGATTCTCCTGCCTCGGCTCCCTAAGTAGCTGTGATTACAGGCAGCCGGCACCACACCCGGCGGAACTTTGCATTTTTAGTGGAGACGAGTTTCACCACGTTTGCCAGGCTGGTCTCAAATTCCCAACTTCAAGTTGGTCTCCCTGCCTTGGTCTCCCAAAGTGTTGAGATTACTGGCATGAGCCACTGTGCCCGACCAAGTTTATTTAATTTAAATAGCCACTGATGGCTGCTGCCTACCAAAATGAAGACCAGTTTCATGCAATCGGCATGTTTAGATTCAAAACATCCCCCTTGTCTGTGCTTACCATTTCTTTGTAAAATCATCTTCCTTCTTAAGTTTCATTTTCTTAAGAGATAGGATGACATGAAGGGATTTTTTTCAGCAAGCAAAAATAATTAACAATTGGCACTCAAAGTGAAAAATATTTACAGGTGTAGTGAATTCTAGATTTCTCCTTTCCTCAGCAGTTTTCGTTTTTCCAGCTTTCATTGTTGCTGTTGAGAAATCAGCTGTCAATCTGTCTTCCTTCTCAGGGCACCTGTTTTTCTTCTCTGGCTAAGGACTGTAAGATTGTTGAATCCTGTTTTTATGTTCTACAGTGACGTGTAGATACCCCAGGGTGTGTGTTGTTTCCAAGAACTTACTTGGAAGTTGTTGGAAGCTGTGTCACTTTCATTCCTCCAGCAAACAGATTCAGAGACTAAGTGAGGAGTGTAAAAGGGCTATCAAGGGCTAACACCTGTGAAAGACAAGGGCCGGAAGCAGAATGGTACCAGGAGAGCCTCACAACATGATGCAGAATGGACAATCTCAAATAACTCACAGGGAACCCTGGAGCAGTCTGCCTATTAAAGGAGGGCTTAGTCACTGGCTGGAGGCCACCTACGCAGTGCATGTCCTTAGTTCAATGGCTGAGGTAGATGCAGAAGGCAATGGTCTGGACTGTCAACAGTCTACACTCCTTGCAGCTGAACGGCCAGTTATTTCTCAAAAAAGATCAAGAGGTGCATCTCCATGGCTGCCACAGGTTTCCCAAATCTCAAGACTGTTCTCTTTCACCAAGCTGGGAAAATCTCAGCTCAGTCATCTCTTCACTTCCCACCAACCCAGTCATTCGTTAAAAAAAAATCTATCAAGCATTTTCAGTTCAGCCACACCAGAGAGGCTTCTGAGAACATCTAGCATGCTACATTATCAATTCGAAGTCTGTTTTAAATTGTGTACCATGGGAAAATTATCCATTTTATTAAATATTTAGGGAGTGAGGGGCCTCATGTCTGAACAACTGCTCAATAAGTGTGATTTCCTCACTCCAAGACACTTAGAAAACACCAGCCACACTGGACCACTTCTGCAGCAAAGCACTCACCTGGGACAGAAGCCATCTGACATCTGCTGTCTGTCTTCACCCCTACCCCTCTCATTAGGTAACAGCAAAGCTCCCTCTACCCCCACCCAGCTCCACCCTCTGCCAGGAAACTTTTCCTCCCTGACTCCAGGAGGGTAGCGAGGCATGTCAGTCACCGCCCCACAATTGGAGCCAGCAACTGGTTCAGAGGTGGCCATGTGGCCCAACTCACATCCATGATCTGGAAAGGTACAGCTCCCTTCCACCCTTTGAATTCTGAGCTGTAAAATGCTTCCCCGGGCTACTAAGAAAGAGAAAAGAAAGAGACTCAAACAGGCAGAAGCCAAGAGAGTAGAGAAGGCCATGGTGTTCTGTCCCGGACACACGGTGCCTGGATGGGCTCCAGGTTCTCCCGAATGCCAGGTGCCCATGCACCCCAGGGATTGTCCTCCCTTCCAGTGAGTTTTGGACTAATGCGGATAATCGGCAAAAGACATTCTCTTCCTGTCCTGTGGCCCCTGTGAACACGGGCAGGGGAAGAAGGCCTGTGACTTTCTCACCACAAACTCCTCCCACCCACCCCTACCAACGTTCCTCTTCCCTGAGTCTGCAAACCTCTGGGAAGCTCTCAGGCCTCACCAAGAAGACTAGAGGGCTGGATCTGGTTCACTCTTTCCCTGGGGTCTGAAGGATCTGCGCCCTGTGTTCAAAGACGACGCTGAAACATTCTTTTCTGCGTGCCTGATCTGAGGCCTCACAACTCAGATGAACAAGGCTGTGTCCCTTTCACATGGAGAAGCCGAGTTCCACAGAGGTTGCGGGAGGAGCCGGCATCACACAAGGACTCGGAGGGGCGCCTCGAGACTCCCAGGACAGAGACGGCAGCCCCAGGTGGGAAAGGCCCAGGCCAGGGACACGCTGGGCCTGAGGTGGGGGGAAGGGAGGAGTCCTCAGGCGCCCCCACGAGGCCGGCGCTCTTCGGGTCCTAGACGGGATCGCACGCTCCTTGCGGGCCCGGTGCACGGAGCGCGGGACGCTGGCCGCCTTCTTCCTGCGCAGGTTCTGGCGCCGCCGCTTCTTCACCTTGTCCGCCCAGCGCTGCCCCCGCATGCGCCGCCGCCACCGCTCCAGCACTTCTCCTTGCGCCTCAGGCTTCTATGGGAGGCGCTGGGGGTTCCGGATTGTTGCGCCGTCTGCCTGGTTCGGCAGGTCTCTCCGCGCCTGGTTCGGCAGGTCTCTCCGCTTCCGCTTCACGTTGGCCTCTAGCTCTCGCGCCTTCCGCTGGTCTCGCCCCCGGGCTTCAGCAGCGTCCGGGCTTCCTCCCTTTCGGCTCCGCAACGCTCCCCTTCACCTCCTGCCTCTTCCTCCTCTTTGCGGCTTGCTGGCCGACTCATGGTCACTCACTCCCACCTTGTGGACTACCAGCCCCGACGGCTCTTGCGGCTTCTTGCAGGCCACCTCGGGAGTGGGCTTGGTCGCCGCCCTGGCCCTCGCCCTCTCGACCTTGGCCTTTTCTGCATTCCCTTTTGCCGCAGTTCCTTCGCTTCTTCTAACGGTACCGCTCCTTCTCTCGTCGCCTTTTCTCCAAAGCGCTTGGCCTCAGCTCCTTAGCATTGTTCTGGCCCCAGGCCTTCTGTATTTTCTCCTGCAGTCGAAGTGGTTTTAATGTATGGGGGAAAGAGAAACATTCCATAGTCCTTTGATGAAATCGCTATCTTCTAGTGAGCCTTTGCCCTGGGATATGACCTTCGAAAGTGCTTCTCAGCATCCATTTCCCCGTCCCCTCCACTTAGGTGAAACAGGAATGCTAGAGGGGTTGGGCTGAATGTTTCTCTTACCTCACTTCAGTTAAGCCCTTGTAATTTCCCTTGAGGGAGGGAGGACCAGAATGTTCTGGACTTACATCACAATGGTTATTTTTCTCCGCCTTCTGCTAGGAGCATGAAGAGACTATTCTCCAGCATTCGCAGTGAGAACTTGGTGGGGATCCTGGAGGAAAAACACAAAAGTGTAAAGACCCCATGAGACTGAGCACCCAAGAACTTGAAACTCTCAAGCTTGTCTGCACTGAGCCTCAACAATTCATGAATTATTACATGTTCCTAAAAATACTGGCTTCATCTGTGGTCTTCTAAACCTGGGCTTTAGTTCCTAGAATTGAGAATAAATTGCGATTATCTGTCTTTGTCTGTTTTCAGGACAGCACTTTGCTCTGTGACTTCAATTCTATCATGGATCTCAGAAGATTTATTTTCAGTTTGTTTAGTTTTCTCATTGATGAGAAGATGGGAGGGATAATCCCAAACTTTACTTGTTAAAGTGAAAACCAGAAGTTATGCTAAATGTTAAAATAGATAATAAGCATAAAACAAAACAAAACAAAATTAGCTTGGATATAGAGCCCTTCTTCAGAGAAGATCAGGAAAGGAAGAACATTTATTTCTTTCTCTGCAAAAGTGTAAGTTTTGTTGCTGTTATTAGCAAGGAAACAGAGTCAATTATCAAACTTTAGAATCTTGACACAGAAGTGAGTTAGCACTTGTTAGAATCTTAACTAGACATAACTAACTCTAATGCTTTTCTTTGAAGACACAAACAACATGCTTTCTACTTGTATAAGTCACAGTGAAGAAGGAGCTTTTCTTTATGGTATCACTGTTGTTATCCAGCCCATCTCTGTATCTCTCGCTTGTATGGTGAGGAAGTGCTCAGTGACAGCTCAGGTATTCCCCAATTCTCCTCCTCTTCCACATGCAAAACTTTGATGAAGTAAAATTTTGGCTTGAGTCTTGATGAGCACCGTGTGGGAGGCTGTAGGGTATTGTCAAGCTCTCTGACATCTCAAACCCCCAGCCTCAGGTGTTTCTGCCCTTGGACACCAGGATTCTTGACTCTGGTCTAACTCTCCCTTAGTCACAAGTCTCCTCATCTCATAGTTTCCCATGAGGATTCTTGCTGGACATCCTGAAGAATTTCAGTCACAATGACAATAATTAGAGGCAATCTCAGAATTATACATGTGCCAATCTGGATGGTAACATTTTAATTCCAGGCATCAAGTTTCCAACAATCAAGGAGAAAAATGACCATAATCCATTGAAAATTCCTCTCCCATACTGCATCAAAAATGGTCCAGATCACAATCCTACATGCTGGAATTACTTCTTCTGCCCCTGTCTCATCCCCATCTTGGCCAAAGGTTTTCCAGCAAGATCTGAATTTTAATCCATCTCTCTTCGCCTGTGTGTCCTGACTAATTTGGCAGAAGGAGTTCTTTCTTAAAACCTTGCCATTTAACTCACAAATGGAAATGTGAAGGGTCAATAGGTATGTGAAGAACCTATTCACCCCTATTCACTGGGAATCAGAGAAGTGAAAATGAAAAGAACCCTGAGCTATCATCTTAGATACATAAAACTGTCAAACGTTTGAAGGTGACTAACACCAAGTGTCAATCAGGATATGAGGAAAGTAGGAATTCTTCTACACAAAAGGAAAGAAATCTGGCAGTGCCAAAAGAAAAATACAGTACATCTATGATCTGTCCCTCCACAGATCCCTTTCCTAATACGTATATCCCAGTGATGCTCTGCTAATCTACAGGGGATGTCTAGAAAGGTATTCATCACATCAGTGTTGATAATAACCAGGAGGAGGAGGAAATCAAATGTCCTTCACAAGTGGAACTGGTAAGTTAAAAAGACTTAGGCTGGGTTTCTCTAAAAACCAGGCCCCAAGACAAAGATTTGTATTCCAGTGGCTTATTTTGATTTAGAAGATGATTTAAGGAATCACCAGTGCGGGAGTGAAACAGTGAACCCAGTACACCTTGAGAAACAATAAAAAGGTGCATTGTTGGCAAGTTGCCTGTGAAGAAAGGGAGCATAATCCCAGTAGACAACACCAGGAGGCAGTTTTGTACATACCTAAGAGTAATCCCACCTTAGCATGTAGAAAACAAGGATATTAACTCTCCAATTCCTGTCTTCTAGGCTGAGTGGTGGTCCCAGGTGCATTAATTTGCAGTTCATCTGCCCAAGCACAGGCCAAAAGAAAGCCTTCCCACAGAGAGTCCCAAGTTCATGTGGCAGGACACCAGAGGTATGTAGTGGAACAGTAGGTGCTGAAGGCAACAATTACCTCATGAAAACTACAGATCTCACTCATATGTGGAATCTAAAATAACTGATCTCATAGAAGTTAAGAGTAGAATAGTTAGAGTAGTAGAAAGTTAAGAGTTGTTACTGGAGACTGGAGAGAAAAGAGTATGGAAGCTAGAAAAAAAGGAAGGATTTTGAATGTTCTCATGACAAAGCGATGATAAATGTTTGAGGTGACAGATATGCTAATTACCAGGATTTGATCTTTACACAATGTATGCATGAATCAGAACATCACACTCTACCAAATAAATATATACAACTGTTATGTGTCAAAAAACATTATATACAATGTTAATATTTTATATTAATGTAAATAAAAATTTACATTCGTATTAATGTAAATTAAAAAGCAGCAACAAAGCCATATGATACATGTGACACTTATGCCACATGCATCGAGTTATTTCAGACACATTGTGTGGTACCTTTGGGTAAAGAAGTGGATGAGAGTGAGGATGAGATATGAAAAGGGCAGAAGAAAACGAGAGGCCTTATAGGAATTGATGAAGAAAGAGTGCCATAATCTGAGAGTGTGACTAAAACCTTTCATCTTCCTCTTCTGCCTCTTCTAAGTTACTGGTTCTGCTTTTCCCCTTGACCTGTTTCAAGCTCTCACCTTCCATATCACACATGGGAAGTCTGGCATCAGACTTCCAGAGAGCAAGAACTAGGTGAAATACAAGGGCAGAGCTCTCCTAGCCTGTGGCATGGGTGTCATCAGATAATATAATTATCCACACCATTTTTAATGAAAAGATTTGCATAAGAGATTCACAGAGGCAATCTGAGGCCCTGCAACTACATTTCCCAGAGATCCCTGAGGTGATCCTAACTAGACTCTGGGGTCAAGGTGATACGGAATTCCAGTGAGATCACTTCCCTTGCAGACTTTGGAAGGGAGATCACTTTATTACAGACCTTGGAAGCAAGAGGATTGCATTCAGCCTAGTTCCTGGTTGCTGGCCAAAGTAAGTAGAACTTTGAAAGTAATTTGCAGTGTACTTTGAAATTGGGGTATAAATCAAAAATAAAATCAAGTCCTCCTACTGACTGAATGGATCCCCTCTTGTCCTAGGCGACCCCAGAGAAACTTGGAAAACTAAATTCCAGGCCATAATGGAAAGGGAGGTCAGACACACCTCATTATACACACTCCCTTTCGGAGTTCAGGCACAACTGACCAGCATTAACATTGAAATAGTGATCATAAGACTGGCAAAATGGACTCTTTGTGGGAGTAAGATACCAAATTCCAATATGACTCTGGTTTGGCATCACATGACAATAGCAGACTTTGAAGGAAATCAATATATTTAATCCTCAAATTATATTTCTTTGACATATATTGAAATGATCTTGCAAAATCATCTTTTGTGGGGGAAATTTGCCTGTTTCTGGCTCTGCTCTGATTGAGGAGAGATTAAATGAGAGTCTGCCACCTTAAAAATTTGAAAAGAGATATTTACCATCTGTTTTCTCTAAGGCTGCTGGCTGGAGGTTTCGTCTATATGGCATGAACCATGGTTCCCACAACCCCCTTTAACTCAAGCATTTCATTATACTTCAGGGAGGAGACTACCCCTCATATTGTCTTTTGCCCAATTTCTGCCTCCAAAGAAAGAAGTAAAAACTAAAAGGCAGAAATGAAATCCACAAGCAGACAGCCTGGTGCCATACCCTGGACCTGCTAAAGATTGATCCCTGACCTAATTGGTTATGTTATCTATAGATTACAGATTATAGAAAAGCACTGTGAAAATTCCTGCCCTGTTTTGTTCCATTCTAATTACTGGTGCATGCAGCCCCCAGTCACTTACCCCCTGCTTGCTCTATCGATCATGACCCTCTCACACGGACCTCCTTAGAGTTGTGAGCCCTTAAAAGGGACAGGAATTGCTCACTCAGGGAGCTCAGTTGTTGGAGACGGGAGTCTTGCCAAAGCTCCCAACTGAATAAAGCCCTTCCTTCTTTAACTCTGCATCTGAGGGGTTTCGTCTATGGCCTGTCCTGCCACATACTGATTGCAAGTCTTCAGACAAAGCTTAACTCTTTCAACCAATTGCCAATCAGAAAATCTTTGAATCCACCTTTGTCCTATAAACTCTCCTACTTCAAGATGTATCAGATTTTCAGGCAGAGCCAATGTATACCTTATGTGGGGGCCATAGGCTGTTGGCCCCCTAAAGCTTCACTAAAAATCACTCACATGGGACAGATTGATTAATAAGGGAAAGGGAATACAAATTTATTTAATGTATATACATGGTCTATTAGCTAGGGCCCTTTAGAGGGCCAGAACTAATAGGATTGATGTATATATAAAGAGGAGTTTATTAAGGAGTAGTGAGTCACATGATCACAAGGTGAAGTCCCACAGTAAGCCGTCTGCAAGCTGAGGAGCAAGGAAGCCAGTCCGAGTCCCAAAACCTCAAAAGTAGGGAAGCCAACAGTGAAGCCTTCAGTCTGTTGTCCAAGGTCCAAGAGTCAAAAAGCTGAAGAACTTGGAGTTTGATGTTCAAGGGCAGGAAGCATCCAGCACAGGAGAAAGATGTAGGCTGGAAGACTAAGCCAGTCTAATCTTTCCACATTCTTCTGCCTGCTTTCATTCTGGCTGTGCTGGCAGCTGATTAGATTGTGCCCACCCAGAATAAGGGTGGGTCTCCTTTTCCCAGTCCACTGACTCAAATGTTAATTTCCTTTGGCAACACCCTCACAGACACCCAGGAACAATACTTTGCATCCTTCAGTCCAATCAAGTTGACACTCAATATTAACCACCACACTCGGGAAACATGAGAATGAAGACCCAACTTTCCAATAAGTTACAGAAATTCATGTACTATTGTGAGGCCACAGTAAAGAGTGGAGACTCAAAGCATGGCCACAAACAGGTAAATTAGTTTTACTGGCAACACAGGTTAAGAAAGAGAGGAAGGAAGAAACTTGGCTAGCAAAGGTGCCCTTGTTATGTAGACGAACCTTTTCTCATAAACAATAGATGGTAAATGTTTCTATCCAGATCTTTAAAGGTGTCAGACTCTCAATCTCTCTGGATCCTGGGAAAGGCTTAGAAAGGAGAGGGGGCATGGCTGCATTAATGGACATTGTCCACAGACGCAAATTTTCCTCAGTTAAGACAGTTTTGCAATGCTACTTCTGCTTGTTGGCCAGTGGCAACCATTTTTAAATATGTCAAAGAAATATATTCGAGGGTAAAATATTTTGATTTTCTTCAGTCTCCACTTTGAAATTTAAAACAAGTTTCACATACTAAAAGCCAAGGTAATAGCTTTGGAGAGATTTGGGTTAGAAGTATTTAGATAGAGACAGTCACAGCAGTGGAAAAACAAATTCAGGATAAATATAAATGAGCAAATTTAAATATATCATTCCATATCTTCTTTAGGCAGTCTCTTGGTTTTGAGGCGAGATCATTTCAGTTAAATAGCTATGTCCCATTCCAGGAGGTGGCACTGCAAATGGTTTAGGCCTCTAGACATAATGTAGGCAATCAGATTTCTAGTAGGAGGCATCTCTATAGAAACAGAAAAAAATAATAAAGGTTAATATCTGGAGTAGTCTATCTATAGACTAGCTTTTCTACAATCTCTGAGGCATCTTCATATTACAGTGGCAATCTTCCAGATTTTTCTGGAAGTTCAAACCAGGTGTTCAAGTGAACTTTCTGAGAAGACCTCGCATCAGCAGGTGTACATGAAGGTTGTTTATAAGTTACTGTTATTTTCTCCAGATACCTTCACTTTGCAAGACTTTAAGAAAACCCCAGTTTTAATTTCTAGTGAATTCAAGTAAGAAAAATGGGAGAAAACATTGAAAATGTTACTTTGGAGACTTATAGCCAGGAAAAAATTCAGGATTTGGTCTAAATTGTAAAAAATAATAAAAACTGAAAAAACAATGGACAAGGCCAGAAGATAATAAGATAATAAGATATACTACAGTTTTTGAAGTATAATTTTTCTGCTTCCAGTTCTTCAATTTTATGAAAGACATAGTAGAACTGATTTATTTGCAAAATAGGTTTTGTTACTATACTTGGTCTGATTATTTGCATCAAGTGCAGCAAGAATAGATATGCACTGTATAGGTTCCTTTTTAAAAAATGGTTTTGCTGGAACATTCTTTTTTGTAAAGAATATCAGGTTAGACCTCTTAAAAGCATCCTGAGCCCAACTAAGGATTTATCTGTTTCTACGAGATACCTGTACGAATTGAGTGAATTCTCTCTCAAGGTTCCAAAATAACTTGGGGTTCCTAGGCCTGTCGGAATGTGACCTTCTTTTACCCATTACAGGCCAGAAACCTGTGAAGGACCCTGTAATGGAACTGCATAGACAAGGTGTGAGGCCAGTTTTATCCACAGGCCTATTATCAGCTTTATAAAGTCACTGTCAATTTCTTAAAAATATGCCATTCCAGTCAAATCCTTGACTTTTGTCTCCACTTGTGTCCTGTTAAAAAAGAAAACAGATTCTAATTGAATTTTTGCAAATAATTATATTCCCATAAATTAGCAATAATCACTGAGTTTCCAAATTTCAGAGAAATCAGGCAGATAAAAGGAAATATGCTTCAAATTTTGCTCACAAGAGTATACTTTACACAAATATTAAAAGCTGTAAATATCTAAAAAGAAAAAAATTTTCTTGACTCTGAAAAACAAACAAAAGTAGCAGTGTTTCAACAAAACCCATGAAAAGGTTATTTCAGTCTTCTATTAGTTCTGTCCATGCAGTTAACTCCTATTCTGTTAGATATTGGGTCAGCAATCCTCATGAACATATTAGTCTCCATCAGAGTCCTGGGAGTTTTTTTTTCTCTATACCAGTGGCACAGTCTCCAAAGTTATCATAAAGCTTCATTCAAGAGCACCCCTTAGAGTCCTAAGCTAATTGCAAACCACCTTTTTAAAAGGATCAAAGGAGAACAACTGTGAATGACAGAAGTCTTAGGACAGCCATGATCAAGGACACACTTGAGAAGGAAATTTGGTTATTTCTGTGGCATATAACAATTTAACATAATAATTATAAACACTAATAACATATATGAAGACATCAGAATGATAGGAATATCCCACGATTTTGAAAAACATACTAGTAATAGGTTTAATATAAATGTAGCTGTAATAAAGTTGAACACCATTTCATATTTGACAATGTTTCCTATATGATTTTAACATGCCAAATATACTGAATGTGTCTGTTTTTGGCTGCAGGGGACTTACTATTGAAAAAGATAATGAGGTCAACAAGACTGAATTTAGAATTGGATTTTAGAAAGTTTGATTTTCTTCAGTCCCCACTTTGAAACTTAAAACAAGTTTCACATATTAAAAGCCAAGGTAATCGCTTTGAAGAGATTTTGATTAGAGTTATTTAGATAGAGACAGATATAGTGGTGGAAAAACAAATTACAATCACCAAACAGGTCATTGTAAAATAAGTCATTCATTTAAGCAAAGTGATAACTCAAAGACTTCAAAAAGTAAAAACCTACACTCTTTGAGAGAGAAGACTCACTTTCACAAACAATAAGACCTAATAAAGACAGCATGAGGCCAACTAAATTTGTCTCTCTTCCTCAACCCCTCTTCCTTTTTTTTTTTTGTTTTCTCAAAAGGTAAGCAAAAATCTTTCACTATCTCTCAATATTAAAAGAAAATGGTATTCAAGAGAAATCTAAATTTTACCATTACATAACTTATTATTAATGCTAAAGTTAACATTAATAAAATCTTACAAACAAATCTATTTAATTTTAATTAGTTGTAACACAAGGTAAGATTTTTATAAATCTTTTACGAGATTTTATAGTTTTCTATAAAAGAGCATATTAGTACTCTAACAAAACCCTGATATTTTGACATAAGGGCCTAGATTCTGGCCCTGCATTAGTGTGCTTTTTATTTTAAGGTTTAATTTATACAAAAATTAAATAATTCCTTTCAAATTTTAGCCAGCTGGCTTACATATAGAATTCCTTTTACAAGATCAAGTTTTCATAAATATTTAGTTTTCTCCGTATATTTAACTTAAAACAATCTTTAAAATCTAAAAAACTTTTTTTTTTTTTTTTTTTTTTTTTTTGTGATGGCATCTCGCTCTGTCGCCCAGGCTGGAGTGCAGTGGTGTAATCTTGGCTCACTGCAACCTCTGCCTCCAGGGTTTAAGCGATTCTCCTGCCTCAGCCTCCTGAGTAGCTGGGATTACAGCTGCGCACCACCACACCCGGCTAATTTTTGTATTTTTAGTAGAGACGGGGTTTCACCACGTTGGTCAGGCTGGTCTCCAACTCCTGACCTCATGATCTGCCCACCTCGGCCTCCCAAAGTGCTGAGATGACAGGCATGAGCCACTGCGCCCAGCTTGTAATTTTTTAAATAGATAAGACTAGCTTAATATTATGGGTTTCATAAAAACAACTAAATCCTGAGCTATCTGGAAAAACAAATATGTTTAACATTAAGGTTTATACTTGGGTGAACACCTGATATTCACAGGCTATAAAATGGTTAGCAAGGAAATAACTTTAAATGTGACTAGTTTTGTCTAATGTCACAGTTCTCAAAGTAATCTAGGTAAACTGCTAACAATGAATAAACTGAATAAATATAAATGGGAGTGATAAATGCTTGTTGGTTAACTTTTATAAAATTTAAAATCTTAAACTTGTTTTGTATTAAAGAATAGGTACTCATTAATAGTTTGGCTCATTTCCAATTAAGTAGAGATATGGAGAAACATGCCTACACATTGTAGAGTGATTTCATCTATAAAGTGCTGATACCTGATATGCAGTGTAGGATTTCGTGTTTCCTAGGTTTAAGGTTACTAAAAATAAAACTTCCACTTAATATATAATTCTGTATATAAAGTCTGTGAAAGACATGTTTTTGATGAAAAAAGAAAATATAAGACAAATAGAAAAATGTATTCTCATTAAAAAGAAAATAATTTTTGTCTAATTCAAAGGTTATTTATGCAACAAAGTAAAAAGGAACCAGTAAGTAGGGGAGAGAGATATAAAGAAAGTTATAGATATAAAGATGCATTTGTGATAAGAGAGATTAAAAAGAAAAGAGAATTATTTTGTATGAAAAATAATTTTATATAGTAAATTTTTTTCTCTGAAGATGACTGTTTAAGAAAGAGTGAAATTTAGGATACAACATAAAGTCCAGTCATGTTGTAAGTGGCATGTGTATAATCAAATGCATAAAAGAAATTTTGTCTGTGGTTATGTTGGCTTTAATTAAAATTGAATTATTTATAGTCGTCTTTCTGGAAACTGAGCTTTGACCAAAAAAACACAATACAAAACCAAAACATTGGTTAGGACTATAAGGGTTTCTTAAAGTATTGAATTGCTCTTCATTAAATTCCAAGAAATTTTAATGTTTAATGCTATTTTTTTCTTTTTGAAACTTCTCAGACTGATATCTCAGAAGTCAACTTCTGGTGTATCCTGCTGCTTTCAGCCTTTTCTTCATTTAAGAACAGCTGGGATGTTAACTCTCTCTTTCAACTTTTTGCTGGCTCTGGCAACTTTTTTTTCTTCAGGTCTAAATCTGTTGCTATAGCCTGATGCTGAAGTGTTTCATCTTAAAGCTTCAAAAAACCAATGTTTTCTTCCATTATAACTTAATTCTGTGCTGTTGGCTTTTCTTCCTATGAGTGAGGGCCAGAAACCCTCTGAAGGATTACGGAAAAATCAGCTTACAAAAGATAGATCAGTTGAAGAGAAGGCATGCAGATTTGTTTGGAGTGTGTATTCTGGAGTCTTCAGAATAAAGACCCAAACACACAAGGGAAATTGTCCTTTTTATGCTTAGATGCAACAAGGTATGGGCACATATAAAAATATGATTGAACCAAAAGGCATAACCTAACGCTAATAGACTGGGGAAACCCAGCAAGGCCTGTCTGTCTAGATTCCTCTTGACCTCTCTGAGCATGTACTCCTTCCTTCTGGGTATAGGGATCTTATGATCTATGATCCAGCAAGGTAGGTTGGATAATTTCTTTATGGCTAATTCATACACAGAAAGGGAGAGGGCAAATTAGAGTAATATTTTTAGGCTTTATGGCTGGTTTTGAGAAAAAGGAGTTCTGATTTCTAGGTTCTGCCTTGGGGAAGGAGATTCTAGTGTGTACGGCCAGCATTGAGGAATAATGGGACTGAGAGATAGGAGGCCAGGAGAAGGCCAAAGAAAAACTGACTTCTGAAGCTTTTACCTTGGGGCACTGTCTTCTGAGCTACAACGTGTATTTAAAGTCTTCAACAAAACCATGAAACTTCTGTGCTGTTACTAAGAGTCACATATTTCCCTGCTCAGGTTACTAGTAAATTCTTTGTTAGTGTTGTTCTTCAGTGGGTTCTCCCAAGTAACTTTGGGTTGATATCCTCCCAGCTTCTGTCCTTGAAGCAGAATATTTGTGCTTAGATTTCAGCAAAAATGCCTCAATAGAGTTTCATTGAGCTACTTAGGTCACATGCCATCCATCAGCCAAGCTTTGGTCCTAGAGCTGTTGTGTTTGAATTGGTCCTACAAAGTTCATCTGACTGCCCGTAGAGCTCAATATGGGCAGCCTGTTGTCCACACAGTAGCTAGACAGATCACTTTGATTAGGCAAACCTTGTTCCCCTTATAACCCTTTTCTCATCCTATCTCACTTTGATTTCTCATCTCGTTTAGAATAAAAGCCAAAATGTAACCATTGGCTCCAAGGCCACTGTTACTTGTCAGATCTCATCTCAATTCAGTCTCCTTCTCACTGACTGTACTCCATTCACCCTGGCTTCCTGGATGTTTCTTGAACACTCAAGACAGGTTCCAGCTAAGGACCCTGGCACTTTCTCTTCCACTGCATGGAACAATCCTCCTCACACATATCCACAGAACTTATTCTCTAGCATCCTTAAAGTCTTAGTGAGCCTTTCCTTAACCACCTTATTTGAAATCAGTGCTCTCCCTGTGCACCCACTAACCCCTTTTTTTGTTTTCACCAGGCACTTACCACAATCTAACAGACTGCATGTTTTATTGATTTATTCAGTTTATTATTTGTGTCACCTCAACTCCCACTAAAATATGAGATTTTTGAGGGCAAGCAAGCACTAGATCAATAGGAAACACATCAAGAGTATCCTGTAAACTGTTTCTTGCGTGAATCAGTGAATGAATGAGTTAATCAATATAATTTTTTGAGTGAGGAGCTTCGTGTTAGGTACAGCTAAATGGGAAATCAAGTGGGTCATGTACCATGAATACCATATCCTCTATTGTATAATTCTCCTGCTTATATCAGAAACTGTTTATAAGCTGATTATAATTGATACCAATTGGAATCTCCTTTTTACTCATCACCAAGAAAACCACAAACAAGTTGTTTACCATTTGGCTCCTCATTTAATCTGGATTTCCAACTCCTCATGCTTGAAAGACGGAAGATACAGTAACACTTTCCTTACAGGGTACTGAGACTATTAAGTGAACTTATGCATGTAAAAGGCATTCATGCAATAAAAATACTAACAAAAGAATTATTATGACAGATACTTATAACCATTGTGTTTTTATGTATTTAAAATACAGTATACCTATAATTAGCCACTCAAGGAAATCCAAGTGCTAAAGTAGTGATATGTTCTTATGTTTTGTTTTTCTTGCTTAGGGGATCATGGACATTGAAGCATATTTTGAAAGAATTGGCTATAAGAACTCTAGGAACAAGCTGGACTTGGAAACATTAACTGACATTCTTGAGCACCAGATCCGAGCTGTTCCCTTTGAGAACCTTAACATGCATTGTGGGGAAGCTATGGAGTTGGGCTTAGAGACTATTTTTGATCACATTGTAAGAAGAAACCGGGGTGGGTGGTGTCTCCAGGTCAATCAACTTCTGTACTGGGCTCTGACCACAATCGGTTTTCAGACCACAATGTTAGGAGGGTATGTTTACATCCCTGCAGCTAACAAATACAGCACTGGCATGATTCACCTTCTCCTGCAGGTAACCATTGATGGCAGGAACTACATTGCTGATGCTGGCTTTGGAAGCTCCTCCCAGATGTGGCAGCCTCTGGAATTAATTTCTGGGAAGGATCAGCCTCAGATGCCTTCCATTTTCCGCTTGACAGAACAGAAAGGAATCTGGTACCTGGACCAAATCAGAAGAGAGCAGTATATTCCAAACACAGAATTTCTTAATTCTGATCTCCTGCCAAAGACGACACACCAAAAAGTGTACTCTTTTACGCTTGAACCTCGAAAAATTGAAGATTTTGAGTCTATGAATACATACCTGCAAACGTCTCCAACATCTGCATTTACAACCACATCATTTTGTTCCTTGCAGACCCCAGAAGGGGTTCACTGTTTGGTGGGCTTCACCCTCACCTATAGAATATTCAATTATAAAGACAATACAGATCTGATCGAGTTTAAAACTCTGATTGAGGAAGAAGTTGAAGAAGTGCTGAAAAATATATTTAAGATTTCCTTGGGGAGAAAGCTCGTGCCCAAACCTGGTAATGGATCCTTCACTATTTAGAATAAGGAACAAAATAAACCCTTGTGTATGTATCACCCAACTCACTAATTATCAACTAATGTACAATCACATATCCTCTCTACCCTCACATTATTTTGAAGAAAATCCTAGACATCAAATAGTTTCATCCATAAAATACCAGCATTTATTGAAAAACAATAACCTTTTAAAGAAACATAAGGACACATTTTCAAACTGATAAAAATAAAGGCATTTTAAGGATGGCATGTGATTATCTTGGGAAGCAGAGTGATTCATGCTAGAAAACATTTAATATTGATTTATTGTTGAATTCGTAGTAAATTTTTACTGGTAAATGAATAAAGAATATTGTGGAAAAACTCATCATCTCTAAAGTATATGAAAACATTGTTGGCTAATATATTGAGAATCAAAGTTTTTCTTTAGACAACTTAGGATATTATGGGGCTAGGCATGTTTTCCTCAGTAGAGTCTTCCTCTTATCCTCTTTCTTGTCTCCTAGTTACATTCTTTTACTTCCATCCATACTTTGCCACAAGAGAGGGAACACGAGTTTTATTGTATACATCTGATTTGAAATCCTGTGGACACAGGGTGAATTACTTTTAAAATCTGTGGCTCTGATTCCTCAAAGATAAAATGCAAATAATATTTATATAATTCACTGACAGATATACATTTTCAAAACTATTTGTTATATGGATGAATAACATCATTAATATTTTGGTTACTGGGCCAGCATTTACTGAAAGTTCTCCTTCCATCTTGCTTTATTTTCCTGTAACTTGAAATTCTGGTCCTACTGTCATCTGCCTGCTTCTTCCTTGATTAAATATTGATAGAATGTCAGATGTCCCAGATCTGAGAGTGTGCCTTGTGATTCAAAATCTGAATCTTTACTTGTCCATAACTCAGAATTTCTGTTTGTAAATTCCAGTATCAGGGCTATAAACTGCAGATTCGTTCTTAACACTATTCTCCCTCTTTGACTTGTGATGACTATAATAATCTTAAGAGAAAAGCAGACATTCGAATGGATAAATATTCATTAAGAGAATAAATTACATTGAAGCATCAGTATTTTACGCAGCAGTGTAATAGCTGGGAGATCCTGGTGAGTGTAGATATCCTCGGAAGAGGTGGATATGAGATCTGGTCTCAGTGGGAAGGACAAATGAAAGACATATATCAATATTTGAAAGCCTGTCATCTTTCTTACCAATTGGGCTTGTTCAGCTCTGCTGCTATCTTGTTGCAATGCCAGGTCACCACTGGTGCTCCTAGGCAGACACAATTTTCTCACATTCTGACCAAGATCACCTCACTGGAGGATGTGGTGGCAAAAAACAAAAACGAAAACAAAACAAAAAAACGATAAAAATGTGGCTCAAGTATGATGATACAGTTGTATACAAATGAGTCAAGTAAATTATATTGCACAATGAGTATCCTGAAACCCAATTCAGTTATTTTGTTCTTGATTATATATAGTACATAATGGAAAAAGCAAAAATATGTTCAGAGAGATTCAGAAATATACAATTTTGCTTCCAGGTTGAAGACTTCTGCCCTTATTATGCAATGTTACCTTTTCTCTAATGAAATCTAAATGAGTGAAGAAGAATCTCACCAATTGATTTGGCCAGAGATTTCAAGGTGCCTCTGAATTCTTTGTGTTTGTCTAAACCCATGTCTCTGTTTTTGGTGGCCCCCTGGAGACTAGGATGTGGCATGTCTTGTTAGAACTCTGGGAAAAGGAAGGTAGAAACCAAACCTTCTAGACGTAACTGGGAAGGTAGAGTGTTGGATGTATATTCCAGTTCTTCTGTTTTCAAGGTGAAGCTGAGTGTGCGTGTTTATCTGCCACTCTCTCTGCTGCAAGGCAGGGAGATAATATGGGGTAAGTACCTATACTGGTGTTCAGGCTGCAGCCTCTGGTCCTAGGGAGATACCTATTGGAAGTAAGCCTATGGCATATCCACCTATTTGTTTTTTGTGGCCTAGGGACATTCAGGAATGGAAAGCCCCACTGATTCCCAGAGCTGGGTCATTAAGAAGATAGTGCCTTTGGTGAGAGCTATATAAGTTGTGGCTCTTGGTGTGTGAACTAACTCCTTCAAGGAAAATGAATAGGCCTAGATTTATTACTGGGGTGAACTGGAAGAAAGGCTCAGGAAGTGCCAAGCTGTGGCTCAGATTACTGGAGGGCTACTATTTGCTCACCAATGCAAGTTTATTAGAAGCAAGCCTGTCAAATAGTCATGGAAAGAATGTGCAGGAAAATCCTTCCGGAGGGAAAATGGGAGCTGCACATTCCAGTATTTTTTTTGCACCGCACCCAGAGGATGTAGCCCCTGGAAGTACTTAGATGCCCACTGAAAACCACCTCTTTGTCAGATAATCTAGAGAGACTCACATGTGTCTTCTTCTGTTCTTTGAGCTAGAAGGTATTTAGGATTCAGTTAATCATGGTTGCTATAAAAGTTGCAGCACCCAATGCATGGCATAAATCGTTTCTGGGAAGAAACATGGAGCTGCATTTTTAGTGCTCCTACTCCACACTCCTCCCACAGTATGAAGTCCATGGAAGTGCATGCAGGCTTATATAAAACTGCTTTTTCTGTGGCCTAGAGAGACTTGTATATGCCTAGTCCCCTCTACCTCCAGGGTGGGGAGGTTTAAGATGCAGTCCTAAGAATGGAAAGAGTGGACAAACTCTTTTCAGGTGGGATTAATAGACCTGGAGTTATCACTGGTGTTAGTTAGGGGAGAAAGCATGGGAGCCAACCTGCTTGTCAGGGTCTCCGTTCTGCCCAATGGATATTAGAAACCAGGCCACCAAGTAGCCCTGGAACAGTGTGCCATAAACCCATTCCAGGAAGTGACACACAGTTGCATTTTAAAGCCCCTTCTGTGCATTGCTCCTGGGGGATAAGGCTCCTGGAAATGCTTATGCACCTGTATAAAATCGCCTTTTTCCTGTGGTCTAGAGAGACTTGCATATGTCTAATTCCCTCCACTCTGAGAGGTGGGAGGTTGAGAATGTAGTCTCAGGTGGAAGCTGTAATAGTGGGATGCTCATCACGTGGACAAACTCTAGGAGGAATCAGTAGACACAAAATTATAGCTGACTAGAGTGGGAGAGGCAGTTGTCTCATCTAACATACAGAAACTAACACAAAAGTTCAAAGAAAATGATGAAACAGAGATATATATTCCAATTTAAAGAACAATATAGATTTTAGGAAGGGGTGCCAAGATGGCTGAATAGGAACAGCTCCAGACTCCAGCTCCCAGTGTAAGCAACACAGAAGATGGTTGATTTCTGCATTTCCAACTGAGGTACCGGGTTCATCTCACTGGGGCGTGTCAGACAGTTGGTGCTGGAGAATGGAACCAAGCTGGAAAACACTGTGCAGGATATCATCCAGGAGAACTTCCCCAACCTAGTAAGGCAGGCCAACATTCAAATTCAGGAAGTTCAGAGAACGCCACAAAGATACTCCTCGAGAAGAGCAACTCCAAGACAAATATTTGCCAGATTCACTGAAATTGAAATGAAGGAAAAAATGTTAAGGACAGCCAGACAGAAAGGTCGGGTTACCCACAAAGGGAAGCCCATTAGACTAACAGCAGATCTCTCGGCAGAAACTCTACAAGCCAGAAGAGAGTGGGGGACAATATTCAACATTTTTAAAGAAAAGAATTTTCAACCCAGAATTTCATATCCAGCCAAACTAAGTTTCATAAGTGAAGGAGAAATAAAATCCTTTACAGACAATCAAATGCTGAGAGATTTTGTCACCACCAGGCCTGCCCTACAAGAGCTCCTGAAGGAAGGACTAAACATGGAAAGTAACAACCAGTACCAGCCATTGCAAAAACATGCCAAAATGTAAAAACCATCGATGCTAGGAAGAAACTGCATCAATTAACAAGCAAAATAACCAGCTAACATCATAATGACAGGATCAAGTTCACACATAACAATACTAACCTTAAATGTAAATGGGCTAAATGGTCCAATTAAAAGACACAGACTGGCAAAATGGATAAAGAGTCAAGACCCATCAGTTTGCTATATTCAGAAGACCCATTTCATGTGCAGAGACACACATAGGCTTAAAATAAAGGGATGGAGCAAGATCTACCAAGCAAATGGAAAACAAAAAAAATGCAGGGGTTGCAATTCTAGTCTCTGATAAAACAGATTTTAAACCAACAAAGATCAAAAGAGACAAAGAAGGCCATTACATAATGGTAAAGGGATCAATTCAACAAGAAGAGCTAACTATCCTAAATACATATGCACCCAATACAGGAGCACCCAGATTCATAAAGCAAGTCCTTAGAGACTTACAAAGAGACTTAGACTCCCACACAATAATAATGGGAGACTTTAACACCCCACTGTCAACATTAGACAGATCAATGTGACAGAAAGTTAACAAGGATATCCAGGAACTGAACTCAACTCTGCACCAAGCAGACCTAACAGACATCTACAGAACTCTCCATGCAAATCAACAGAATATACATTCTTCTCAGCACCACATCACACTTATTCCAAAATTGACCACATAGTTGGAAGTAAAGCACTCCTCAGCAAATGTAAAATAACAAAAATTATAACAAACTGTCTCTCAGACCACAGTGCAATCAAACTAGAACTCAGGACTAAGAAACTCAATCAAAACCATGCAACTACATGGAAACTGAACAACCTGCTCCTGTATGACTACTGGGTACATAAAGAAATGAAGGCAGAAATAAAGACGTTCTTTGAAACCAAGGAGAACAAAGATACAACATACCAGAATCTCTGGGACACATTTAAAGCAGTGTGTAGAGAGAAATTTATACCACTAAATGCCCACAAGAGAAAGCAGGGAAGATCTAAAATTGACATCCTAACATCACAATTAAAAGAACTAGAGAAGCAAGAGCAAACACATTCAAAAGCTAGCAGAAGGCAAGAAATAACTAAGATCAGAGCAGAACTGAAGGAGATAGGGACACAAAAAACCCTTCAAAAAAATCAATGAATCCAGGAGCTGGTTTTTTGAAAAGATCAACAAAATTGATAGACCACTAGCAAGACTAATACAGAAGAAAGAAGAGAAGAATCAAATAGATGCAATAAAAAATGATATAAGGGATATCACCAACAACCCCACAGAAATACAAACTACCATCAGAGAATACTATAAACACCTCTATGCAAATAAACTAGAAAACTTAAAATAAATGGATAGATTCCTGGACACATACACTCTCCCAAGACTAAATCAGGAAGAAGTTGAATCCCTGAATAGACCAATAGCAGGCTCTGAAATTGAGGCAATAATTAATAGCCTACCAAACAAAAAAAGTCCAGGTCCAGACAGATTCACAGCTGAATTCTACCAGAGGTACAAGGAGGAGCTGGTACCATTCCTTCTGAAACTATTCCAATCAATAGAAAAACAGAGAATCCTCCCTAACTCATTTTATGAGGCCAACATCATCCTGATACCAAAGCCTGGCAGAGATACAACAAAAAAAGAGAATTTCAGACCAATATCCCTGATGAACATCGATGCTAAAATACTGGCAAACTGAATCCAGCAGCACATCAAAAAGCTTATCCACCATGATCAAGTGGGCTTCATCCCTGGGAAGCAAGGCTGATTCAACATACACAAATCAATAAACGTAATCCAGAATATAAACAGAACCAAAGACAAAAACCACATGATTATCTCAATAGATGCAGAAAAGGCCTTTGACAAAATTCAACAGCCCTTCATACTAAAAACTCTCAATAAATTAGGTATTGATGGAACGAATCTCAAAAGAATAAGAGCTATTTATGACAAACCCACAGCCAATAGCATACTGAATGGGCAAAAACTGGAAGCATTCCCCTTAAAAACTGGCACAAGACAGGGATGCCCTCTCTCACCACTCCTATTCAACATAATGTTGGAAGTTCTGGCCAGGGCAATCAGGCAAGAGAAAGAAATAATGGGTATTCAATTAGGAAAAGAAGAAGTCAAATTGTCCCTGTTTGCAGATGACATGATTGTATATTTAGAAAACCCCATCGTCTCAGCCCAAAATCTCCTCAAGCTGATAAGCAACTTCAACAAAGTCTCAGGATACAAAATCAACGTGCAAAAATCACAAGCATTCTTATACACCAATAACAGACAAACAGAGAGCCACATCATGAATGAACTCCCATTCACAATAGCTTCAAAGAGAATAAAATACCTAGGAATCTAACTTACAAGGGATGTGAAGGACCTCTTCAAGGAGTACTACAAACCACTGCTCAATGAA